GTGGTTCACGTACAATTATTCCTCTGTGTGGTGCAGAAAGATGGCCCGATGGTCATCTTGAAAAATTTATCCAAAATGCTAAGTGCGTAATGACCGGGTGAACCCTTTGAGCCGTTGAATGTTACGATCGCCTTGAAGTTCTGCCAATACTTCTATTCGCTAACTACACTCTTACTACAGAGCCTGGCGGGTTTCTGCAATGGGTTGAATATGACCCAACCTCCTTCAAAGTCGTTTCGCCGGATCCATTGCTAAAGCAAAACGCAAATGACCAACACGTCCAGATCATTCGAGGACCCCATGGTGTTGCTACGACGTGAGTTTTAGCTCTCTTACCGTAGACATTACGCTATTGACATTGTCCCTAATGTTTGATTCTATGATCCTTCCAGATGGTCCTCTAAACTTCTATCGCACTTTGAGAGTGTTGGGTTTGAGCAAGTCACATATAACGCCTACCCGGTTCCAACTGAACTCTACGCTCCTTTCATGCAATGCCATCTCTGTGCCGCAGAAGAGGTCAGCTTCACAGCCATGAAGAATGACGGTCCAGACGCGCAGGGCCCTGTGTTCAGGAAACTGCTGGCGGAAGTTTACAAAGAATGTCAGACTGGCGTCACTATGGCGGAAAGCCCAGTGGTGACAGTTGGGAGGAAATCGGCTGTATAGCAGAACCACGAGAATCTCTCAAAGGCAGCACCTGGGGTTCTATGATGGCGGTGGAATCAAGCCATGGCCTACAAAATGTTCCTCAGAAATGGCAAAAGGTACAAACTTATCATCCAAGCATTCCAAACCACAAATGACTTCTTATCCTCGTCCACGCTTCGGTAACTATATAGCCGAAATATGATGGTTGCCCCCAAAGCGATTGGCAAGATAAAGCCAGGGAATTTCAACCCCCGAAACGCTGGACAAATCCAAGACCATATCGCAACGGGAATACCAACAGTCAGACGAGCCACCTTGTCGCCTGCTATGAGAAGAATGGTTCGCCTTCCACGTATAGCGTCACCCTTTTGATCGTACAAATCCTGGAATTGAATAGTGGTTGAGATCACCCCACTCAGCACGAAGAACCACGTTGATGAGTTCCCACACAATCGCGTCCCATATTGTGCGCAAGCCACCTGGGCCGCCCCCGAACCGAAAGTCATGTAGCCGGCTGCGTTGAGGATATCTCTCGCGAATAAGCTTCTACTCGCGCCCTCCAGGACGTTGTAGATCCAGCCTTCCATTATCAAAGCAAGGCATTCAGGAAACCCGCCCAAGTAGAGACTCGCGAAGATGGCAACGGCATAGCTGGCGAACATAACGGTCCGTGTCTCCTCAGCTGTCAGTCTGCCTGCCGGGATCGGGCGCCATGGCTTGTTCACTTTGTCTTCCACATTGGACTTGACATCATGTTGATTGCTCATGTCCAGCGGCAACAGGTTTAACCAGTTCCAGAGAATGATGAACGGTATACAGCCGAGGATCGCAGTATGCGTTGGTCGAGGATCCTGCATCAAGCTTCGTCCAGAGAGAAGCGTGATAATACCAAGCAAGGTCTTCGGGACGACAATAGTCTTCAGATCGCTGAATGTAAAGAGCCACAAGCTGTAAGTATGGTGCCAGATCATCCGTGTGGTTCTTGGCGGGTGTCGCTGTACTTGGAAGACATTGACTGAGGTCGCATGCTGATCGAGTTCGTACGTCGTCGTGGCTGCGGAAGTGCGTTGATTTTCCATTGGAGCCAAAGATCGGATGTTGTAGAAAACAAGTGATCACTTTCCCTCGATTGGCAAGCGAGATTAGGCAATGCGCCGTATCAAACTCCTGGAAGACATCTTATATGTGCCTCCGAAAACTTTCCCGCCAATCTAAAGGACACATGCTGCTCAGCCTTAGACTCAAGGCGTACCCGGTGAAGACTTTGCCTGTTGCAATGAGATTGCGGCAAGGTAAACGGATTTTCCACATATGCAAGATCATAACGGCAGTCATATGCCGGCATGTTTTCCAATAATGGCGCTGTAGAAGTAAGATGACGAAGCTATAGGCAACAAGGTGGTGGAACAGACCGATAGCATGCCAGACCCTTCTGGGATAGTAAGCTGTGAGTGGCATGACAGGCTCTCCATTAAGCGATCGGCAAATTGGAAAAGTACCGTAAGATAAATTGTAGGCCTACACAAGATGACAACTAGCCCAGTGTGTTAGTACTTGCGGAGGTTTCGATGCCTGCGGCACGGGGATTTACATGCACGACATGACACGAGACAGCATCGTTAACGCCGATCCCGCATCACTCCTAGCCAATAACGCTACATGGAAAGGAGTGAGATCTTTTGGAAGGAGCTGAACGTTGCTGAGCCTTCCACCTACGTACGATGACGTCCGGCAACATGGTTTACTGGATTGAGTACAACATTACTGAAAGCATAGGGACTTTACCACAACAATTCAGATGGCACAGCCTACTTTATGAGAGATGTCTCAGACCACATTGTCAATCGTTCAAGGCGTCTCTAGACTTTGACATGGCTTCTAATACCGAATTATTTGCCGCTAGTGCTCTAGGAGTCCTAGCACAGGCACCAAGCTTACTAAAACTCCATGCCGTTGGATATACAAGTGTGGCAGTATTCAAATTGACCTACTGTCAACTGTCATGGCTATCTGCAACCAATACGAGTCTGTGCTTGTGCGGCACGTATGTATTATGTCTCTGGGCAAGCGTGAGCATCTATCGGCTCTTCTTTCACAGATTACGTGCGTTTCCTGTCCCTGTTCTCGCTAGTGTCTCGAAACTTTGACATGTTGCACACTGCCTCGACTCCAAGAATCACCTCCTGTTAGAGAAGTTGCATCAAAAGTATGGCGACTTAGTCCGCACCTGTATGGCCAACCGAAGGCATGGACATGAAATTTTGGAGGCTAATTGAGATGTAGGACCCAGTGAATTGACCATCTTCACCCCAGAAGTTATGCCGGTTATGCTGGAAGGCATCAACAACCAGTTCAGCAAACCGTCATGGTATGATTCTCTGAACCCGTACTATGGCTTGACCACGCATCGCAATAAGAGCGTCCACGAACAACGTCGATGAATATGGGATGATGTCTTCAGGAGCAAAGGTTCGAAAGCATCCGCTGGCTATTATTAGAACCTTTCGCTAACATCACTGTCTAGCTTTGCGCAACTATGAGGTCGAAATAAAAGCCTTGTCGAACCAACTTGAGACTTGAGCGACTGATTGCCCAAGTCGAAGGCAAACCGATCGTGATCAACCAGCGTTTTTACTGATTCAGCTTCGATACCATGGGCCAAGTCTCTTTCTCCAAGTGGTTCAATATGCTGAGAGATGGAGAATGGCACCACGCAATTCAGATGCTTCGTTCTGGAATGTCTCTGACGGGACCGTTCACACCAGTACCTTGGCTCATGCGAATTGGCTCGGAGATTCCTACAGTTCGGACATCTCGCGATCTAAATAAGGTGATTGCTTGGTGCGCCCAGCAGATGGATGATAGGGTTGAGGTTTGACAAGACCCCTCGCTAATCGTTCGTTAGCGTACTGTGAATAAGCCTGATGTAAATCCCGTTCAGTGCTTGGAGTGAAAACTTTTTTTAACGCGCTGATCGAATCGTCAAAAAGGCATGACAAGCTCGAATTTGACAAGATGACGCTACAAGGTGATGCAATCTCCTTAATCGTTGCAGGAAGGTAGCCTAAGAATAGATCGAGTAAAACACCAACCACACCAGCGCATGGCTGATGAACAAAGTGACACGGTAGCGTTGACACTGATCTACCTATTTTACCGTCTGGCACGCCACCCCGAGAATCTTCAAAAACTACAAATAGAGCTAGACAATCTCGACTCCGCATCGGACTTCATAGCCTTACAGCATTGTCCCCATCTAAACGGAATCCTCAACGAAATCCTGCGCCTGCATCTCGCGACTCTTACCGGGATCTATCGCGAAACACCACCTATGATCTCTGGCCGCTTTGTGCCTGGTAACACACTGATATGCTCACCGCGGTACACAATTGGAAAGCGTTAGTAATCAATTTCTCCCCGAGATCGTAAGACCCGATCGCTGACGTAAATGCTTATCAAAGTGGAATCGTGCTTCGAGCGCGGCAACGAATTCATTCCAGAGCGTTGGTATAGTAGACCTGAAATGATCAAGAATAAGAGTGCTTACGCGCCTTTCGCCCTCGGTCTGCCTGTCTCTAAAACTAGAAATCAAACAAAGGCTAATCAGACGATACCAGGTCGTTATAATTGCATCGGCTAGAATTTGGCACTGGCGGACATACGTTATGTGACAACGTCGCTTGCGTCGAAGTACGATGTTAGTTTTCCGCCTGGAGAGGATGGGAGGTCTGTGGAAGAGAACACGCTGGACCAGTTCACTGCGAATCCCGGGGAGTTGAGGGTTGTTTTTCGGGCTAGGCAGAAAAGCTAAGGTAGATTAAGGTAGTACAAATATTCCGGCAGGTATCATTCACTTTACCACAACTCAGCGACAAATACACTCTAATTCACTGCTATTCAAATGCCAAAGAACATGGAGGGAAAAAGGAAAGCAAAAAGAAATGTTGAAATACTCGGGCGCCGATGCGTCCCCTCTCCGGCTATGGACTTGACGTGCTAACCACTGCACCATCGAGGCTTTCTTGGGGATCGAGGGCTATTCGAGGACTTGACAAGGGCGGCGGTGAGTCGGAAAATGATCGTTAGCTGGCGAACCTCACAAATTCAGGTATCTCTCGGAGTCGGAGTCGTTTTGTGACGCAAGGCCCTGTAAACACGATCCAGAGAAGACGGTCAAGCTACGCGATTCTTCGAAGCATCGAATCAAACCAATGGCTTTCTAAAAGAAAAGGGAAAACTTTCGTTTTGTACATGGAAAAGAAAGATAGCCCAAGCTAGAAAATATGCTTTCGCCAGGCTTCTAAAGAAAAAAGGAAGAACACTTTCGATGTGCAAAAACAAAAGAAGATTACCCAGGCTAAAAGTCGAACTTAGATTTTTGGGATCGCCTTTGGCTGTATGCAGGATGACTGCCGCAGCACTCTCCAGCTCTCATTAGTAATGGCTCCAACGTGCTACCATTACACCACCCTGGCTCTGTTGTGGTTTGTTGTGGATGGCGTCTTATTTAGAGATAGGAGTTTCTGCAGAATTAGTAGAGATTTCGGAAATTGGGAATCATGTACTTCAGTGGACCAGCGGTGAGCAGGGTTCAAGTCTGTTTACCCCGGGAGCTAGACCCTGCATGAACTCGGGCGAGATTTTGGAGTGCTTGTGTGCTTCAGTTGGCCAGCGGTGAGCAGGGTTCAAATTTTCCTTCTCGGCCAGATTACTGGATTGTTGTATCACTGTAATACAAAAGTCCCTGTGTGGTTGGTAGTTGGTACAACGTAGGCCGTTTAGATTCTTTCATATCTGGAAGAAGTGCTTCTGCTGCTCAGTCAGTAGCCCACGCTAGAAAGTATGTAAGTGCAGGACAAGCAAAATATCACAACACACCAAACCGTCATGATCGAGAGTATTCAGTAGTCTGAAAGTTTGTACATCCGTTGTGGAACCTATCCAAGAGATGGCCAGCATAAGATCCTTCTTCAGCAAGCATATGCAGGCGCGTGAAACCAAACATGAATGCAGAATGTCCCTTCCATGCATAATTTGAACTTTTGACTCGCAATAACATAACAACACATAAAACACTGCAACTTCATCGATCCGCCGCCTTCCTCCCCTTCCTAGCTCTCGTACTCGGCGGCGCCATCTCCCTACCAGTCGTCTTCTTCGGGGTCTGCGTATCAATTTTCTGCTCCACCACCACAGCTGTAGCCTCGGACGTCCCATTCGCTTTCGGATTCCCGATCTTGTTCTTCGTATCAATCTGCCCTATAAGGGGTACTTCAGAAGCTAGCCATTGCTGAAACGGTTTCGCAATGAAGAAGCCATCAGCGTCGAACCAGCGGGTAAACGGTGATGATAGTTCCAGCCTTTTTTCTTCGCCTTTTGGGTTCGTGTAGGCGACCGTAAGGTTATAGATAGGCGTATGTTTCGTCACGCTCGAAGCCATCGATATCTACCGCACTCATCAGCCATCACGTCCTTCCCCTCCCCACCAAAAACACCACATACCGTATTCCTCCCCGCATCCCTATGTTCAATATCCCCAACAAAAACCTTCCCCCTCTCCACGCCCCATATCCAAAACGTCAGCGCCCCATTCAGCACAAAGTAAACCAGCACAGCCCAAAACGTCCCGTATTTCGTCTTATCCCAGCCGAGCTTCCAGTCGGCGTAGAATGTGATTGCTGCGATGACGACGGCACTGTAGCCGAGGGCTAGGCGGACGTCGATTAGGTGGTGGGATTGGCGGAATTTTAGGGAGGTGAGGTAGTTGGGGAGGGCATCGTCGGTTGTGTTTTTGAGATCTGGTCATCTGTTAGCCTGGCTCGATCTTTGAGGTTTGGGGAGGGCTTACCTGATAGTGAGTAGACTGCTATCTTTTGGGAAGACATTGTGTACAAACTCTTCTTGCAATGGTGAAATGCTCAAAAAGTGAAGCTGGAGCTCATATGGAGATCTGTAGCTTGCGCTAGCGTCCGCCCGCCAAGCCAGGGTCTTCGATGTCGCCGCTGGGAGAGCTTATTTTACAACGGAAGTTGATTCTCCCATCGACGGTTATATCAAGCAGCAAGCTTCTATCTGGAAGTCACGCTGCTAACATGACATACCCAATGGTGCAGACCATACACCGAGATCCAGCGCTATTGTACGTCCATGAATCTCAAGCACGCTTGCTTCGCCAGACTGACCATCCCTACACAGCTACTGGATCCTCTTCCCCATCTCCATAGTAATGATCCTCACCGGCGTGCTCCGCCACTACGCAACAATCCTCCTGCAAACCACCCCCAAAAAACTCACCCTCCCCGCCCTCCGCGAACAACGCCAGCTCCTCCACGGCATCAACCTCCGCACGAACTACTCCGCCATCTCCTCCGCCTCCTTCGCCGCACGAAAGAATTACCTAGTTTCAGCATATAAGAATGGGGATTTTCTGAAAGATCCAGATAATAGGGGCAAGCCGGCTGGGAACCCAATGACGGATCCGGCTGCCATGGAAGGGATGATGGGCATGATGAAGGGGAATATGGCGATGATGATTCCGCAGACGTTGATTATGGGGTGGATTAATGCGTTTTTTGCTGGGTTTGTGATAAGTATGTGCACCCACGTCTATTGATAGAGTGACCAGTATATGGGTATACCAAAGGATTCATTCTAATCCGTGAATGATTGGCAGTGAAACTCCCCTTCCCACTAACCCTCCGCTTCAAAAGCATGCTCCAATCCGGCGTCGCCACCCGTGACCTCGACGTTCGCTGGGTCTCCTCCCTCTCCTGGTACTTCCTGAACCTCTTCGGCCTGCAATCCGTCTTCATTTTCATCCTAGGAAACGACAATGCAGCGAGTCAAATGGCGCAACAAATGCAGCAGATGAACCCCAGTGGTGCGGGGGGTATGTTCCAGCCGGGACAGGACCCGGATAAGATGTTCAAGAGCGAGGCGGAGAATTTGGAGGTCGTGGAACATGAGTATATACTTAAGGGAGTTGAGGAGAGGGTTTTGGGGTTGGTGTAGACTTAGAGGATTTAGTGATATGTTTTTATCGCATAGCTCGATTGGGTCGTACCTGGTTGAACATGAAAGCGACACAGGTGATCGGTCTCACTAAAAGCAGCTGTTGATGTCTCCTTCGGTGCCTGGTAGACAGGCTCGCGGGTAGCAAGAACGCTCGGACATTTCCCTAATGAGAATCTAAAACACATGGGCAAGACGCGGGCATTGATTAATCACCTGAGGCACAATCCCAGAAAACGATACGATTGTGACTTAGCTAACACCCTTTTGTGCGAATAAACCTAGTCCCTCAGAGCTGCTAAGAGGGAATTCCGAGGTGTCTTGTCCAGACTTTCTTGCTACCCACGAGACAGGGATCTTAGTGATACGAACTGCTCCTGGTGCTTACGTGAGATGATTGATGAAGTGCTACAGTTCAATTATAGGAAAGTAGAGCTGTCAAACATAGGCACGAACTACAGGAGTAAATGATGGATTTGACATGTTCCAATTGCTTTAATTTTCTTAAGCCGTTTCAAGCATGCTTCTCATCCAGACAGTACACGAAGTTTCAGCGCTATTCTACCCAACCTTTCTATGCAGATGATGACGCCGTCTAAATGTACCTTTCTATGTACAATGTTCGTTCGCTCGCTCGCAAATCTTCATCAGTCATGTGATCATATCATGTCCCCGGATACCTAGGCATATTCTTCAATTCAAAATCCTCCGTCCGCGTCCTCGTCGCTGGATGATCTAATGACATCCTATCCTCAAAAGACGGCAATGCCCCACTGGCACTCGGTCCTACACCTTCGCTCTGGTGACTCCGCGTGTTCGAATACACACTGTCCATGCTCGGGCTCACGGCCTGCGGACTAACCAAGCCAGTCCTCGGATCCATCCGATCAGTCATTCCTGGTACGCCCACTTCAGGAATGTCCGCCATACCCTGCTCCATTAGATCTTCTTCTTCTCCATCGTCAGTGGTACGAGACTTGCTACGCGAGAAGAAGCGATTGCGGTGTATGAGGGAGTTGCCTCTCTTTACTTTGGATTCCTCGGTGATAGAGCGCTTGAGACCGAAAGGCGAGCGATTATTGCCGGCTCGAGACTCAGCGCGGCGGATAGTATCGTCGTCTTCGCGGCGGCGTTCCTTGTCATCTTCTTCTATGATGCGATCGCGGGCGTCGCGAGAGCGCGAGGGGGAACCCAGTCTGATGTCTGGTATGCGTGGGCTACGATTTTCGGGAAGGTCGGCCATGATGTCTGCGGAGCTGTTGACGTTTAGGAATTCGACTCGGCGTGACATGGAGGAGATAGATTCGCCTCGTTGCCGGGAGCCGGTCCGGAGTATGGAGTTGGTTCGATTGACCAATGGGCTATTGGGACCGCGGGCCAGGGAACCGGATTGAGGGCCTGGACCACTCTTGTTGTCACCATTGTTGTTCGACCCGTCGGAGATTTCTGCGAGTCTGGGCCCGGTCTGAGCATAGTAGAATGGGTTGTCCTCCATTGAGCCAGGAATACGTTGCCGAGGTCCTTCAATGCCAATCTCTTGCATTGCGACCATCATTGCGCAAATGAACTTGTTGCGGCGTTGGAGACGAAGTAATTCATTCTGCCAATTCGATTTGTAGAAGAAGATGACGTTGACGTTGAGCGAATGAGCCTCGACGATATCGCGGATTTCTGTCAAGATATTAGACTGGTATTCACGCTTCTCAGCTTTGACAAAGTCGAGTAGGCGAGTACGAAGCTCATCAATCTGCTCTAAGGTAGTGCCGAACTTGAACGTCATGGGAATTGCTTCGGCTAAGCCTCCGGAACGGCGCATGTTGAGAATGAAAAGCGTGTTCAAATAGCTGTTTGGAGCTTGAACAATGTGACCCTCCATTTTCTTAAACTCGGTGTAGAGCAGAGATATCTCCTTGACCAGGTAATCATCTCCTTTTAGCATGGAACCCGTGTTCCCGTATATGGTGATTCGATCACCAACGTCGAAAGGATGCTTGACGAGAACAAAGATGCAGGAAGCCAAGAATTCTTGTGCGGTGGTAGAGAAGAGCCAGGAGAGGGCCAAGACAGTAGACCCAGCACTAGTCAGCACGCCAGCAGCTGATGCTGAGATTAATGACAGGAAGACCAGGACAGTGGCTACCAGGACGAAGAAGAGAAGAATTCCATCGAGCTTGGCCACAACCGAGTCCAGGTCTTTCAACGAGGCTGTAATGGATTTGCGTTCTTTTCCGATCTCGACGCAGACTGCCTCCAACTCGGCCATTGAGATATCGCCATTCAAGTCTTTATCAAACATCGAAAAGGCACTCTCCGCTTCCTCATCATTATCAAAAGCGTGTTTCAGATCCTCTCCAGAGACGGTATCGGCATCGTCTTTCACAAAAGTCCGGTATAGCCGGCGCGCAAGCACTTGAGACGATGTCGGAGCATTCAGCAAAGTGAGCACAAGTTGACGAGGATGTGT